GTGTGTGTGTGTTTGTGTGTGATACGCAAGGATTACGGTCGTAATTACGCTGCGCGTAAATTACCCGCCTCCTTTGCACAACGGTCTACGCACGACGGTCCTCGCGAAAATTGAAACATTCGGAACAAGTTAGAAGACATTTCTTTTGCCATCCCACCTCACTTGATGTTTCTTCCGGAAACACGTGCACGTGCTGTTGCGCCTATTTTTTTTTTTTTGTTCTTAAGTTTGCCTTCGACATTTTTAAAGGAAAGAATCGTACCGCGTCCAAGCACGCGCACGTAAATCCCCTTCTCGGCGAAGTGTCGCTGGAAATTTCACCCATTGACGCGCACGCATACATAAAATAATAAAAAATACAAGACTACTCGCACGTGAACAATTTCTCCGCTCTCGCCGCAACTCGACGCCGGCGGCGTACAATATCGCGCACGCATCGCGTTACATAATATACGGCTTACAATGTGTAATATGTTCCTTGCGGATCGCACAATTTCTTCCCCTCAGTAATGATTGCAGTCACAGTTAACGCCATTTCTCTCGTTTTTTTCCTTCCTTTTTCTATCTCTTTCTTTCCCAGTTGCAATGCCTATTCTTCGTAACTGATACTTATAGCCCCTCTTTTTTTGTTTTTTTCTTTTTTAAATAATTTCTTTTTTTTTTTCTTTACACTATACTCTTTTTAAAATTAATCTTTCGTCTGATCATTCCGTTCTGTATATATATTCGTAAAGTGTTCATTTCCCTTAAAGGCTGCTCGTCCGATATACTTCAGAGGACCAAACATGACACGAAAAGTACATGTACAATACAGAAGATATTTTACTGTGTACCTCCCGAAACGCAACGTAGAAAATAAATACTAAATCGATCAATAAATAGTAATCGTTTATTATATCGTTCTCTATTTCTCCTAAGAGTAATGCTAATACGCTATAAATCATAGTACCGTATTCTCAATTTACACACACATGTCGCATAATTACATATACTACACGGTGGACATTTGACTATCTCGCAGGAACACTCATTGATTCTCTAAGTTCGACATCACATACTGAGATTTGCAATGTAAATACGATAAAGCGAAAAAACAGTTCTTATCAATCATCGATCAATCGTCGATAAATCGATAACATTATCACTTTGAATGGATAAAAAAAAAATAAATAATAGGAAACTCCGTAGTAAGCAAAAAGTAACTACGTTTAAGTATAATCACGCTCCTTCCAATATTCTCTGTCCACCATGTCAGTTGCAAACGAAAAGTATTGTTTCGAAATGCATAGGACTGATTAAAAAACACGTAACGCGCGACGCGTCACGAATGCCTGACGCATCGGTAGCACAATTGAATCTTGATCCTTCGACGCGCGGCCTTCCGATGAAAATTTGCGAAACTACGAACGGCGAAAAAAAAATAATCACGCGAGTTTCGCAAAGCTTCGGTTGAAAAGCCGCGCGGGTGGAAATCAATTCTCACGAAATCAAGAGCTCTCTCTCACTCTCTCTCTTTCTTTCTCTCTCTCTCTCTCCCCTTCGAAATTCTTATCATACGAAATACAAATCATTAAAATCCAACGATCATCGATGCCTTTTCCTTTCGTCACCATGTAAAACAGTACAAAATAAAATAGAAAAGGAGATGCAAAAGCTTGCGTATGTAATACCAGTCTCGGAACCCGCGTAAATCTTTGCGAAACGATACGCGCGTACACAATCGGTAAGGCGAAACCCCCACATTCGTTCGTTCGTCGCCGTAAAACGGACGCCCGTTTCGACACGGTGGACGCGAGAAGCGCCGTCGGAAATCGACGTATCACCATCGACAAGAGATTCCCACAGTTCAACGTTCTTGGCAGGGCCTCCGAGAGCTGACAGATATTAGCCTCGATGACGAATCGTTTTAAAAATTTGAGAAAACACTCGCACCGCGATCGGAAGCCAACGATATTTTGCTCATTAAACACTATCCCTCGAATGTTCCTTCTTCTTCTTCTTCTTCTTCTTCTTTTTTTCTAGATGAAATAATTAATCGATCCCCCTCGTAAGAGAGAGGCATTCACACCTTGGTCCACGGTCACACGGCATACGATTCACGCACGCGATTGCACTATTAAATCTAGTAATATAACAGGTATAAGTATGACATGTCTAAAAATCCTGTCGGTTGTGACGCAAATCGAATTTGTACTTTTTTTTTCCCCACGTAGTAGATTAGATAGATAAGAATCCGACGTTTGCACGAAACGATATCGACATCCTATAAAGCCCTACCAACACCATCGTTTTAAACCGGCAATGACACGCGAACCCGCGTCACGCTCTCGCCTATATATCGTTAATGCGCGTTATTATTTTTTTTTCTTTTTTGTTTAAGCAGAAACAATGCCCTAGAAAGGCCCTTCGAAAGGGCCGCAAGAGCTAGCGTTCAGCCCTCCCCGATCGGACAACAGCCACGTTGTTGTCTTGTGTGTGTTATTGTTTAACGACTTAATATTCCGACTCTCAGCTCAGCACAAGGAGCTCTGAGCCAGTAGCCTTCCCGACATTCAATACCGATTAATTAATACATTTGTTTACAGTGTAGTTGTTATTCCGTTAATTGTTCGTTCGTCAATTCGCGTGGAAATTGAATGTCACAAGATCGTTCGATATCACAGTCGTTTTTTTCAATTATTTTAGTGTTATGTATTTATATATAGCGTATCGTTACTGATAAATACAGCTAGAAAATAATATGAGTGCGCCCCTTATTATTATTCACGAGTGTGTCTCTCTCCTCACTTCAAGGGGCTTCTTCCGCTCTCCTTCTTTTTCTTTAATAAAGTTGAGCCCGTTATCATGCAAAAGCATATTCCCCCATCTGCTCTTTTGTGTTAATACCCCCTCTGTAACTGCAACCGTATATTTTTTTTAACCCGCCCACAACACAATTTGTTTTCCATGAGCATTCGCATATATTCGCATTCGATGCTGATAAGACTAAGATTTTCATAAAGCGCCGTACCAATTTCGCAGGGCAACGTCTCCGTTACATTTAGAAATGCTATTCAAAGCACAATTCTCTATGGGATCTGCGCAGTTCCGTCTGTGGAACCGCTCAAGAGCTCTCAGGTACATAAAACATTTATATATACCTGCTTTTTATTAAAGCGGTTTCTAGCCGTCTTCGCACAGTGAAACCTCCATATCCACCGCATTTCTGATTAAAGAAAAGATCTTTCTCTTTTGCCAATGAGGGCTCGTTACAAACGCTTATTTACTTAATTTTACAAAAAAACAAAAAAAAAAAACTAATTTTAAAAATAAAAATCTTATTTTTGTAACAATAAAAATTAAAACGTTCTCTCTCTACATCAAAATTTTCACATATATGTATATATATATATATAAATATTACAATATGTAGTTTCCTTGACGTTGTACATTAATTTTTTCTCAAGCTACTACGAATATCGAGATCTCACTGTAATGGGCAAAGTTACAATATAACCCGCCGGCTGTAAATCGCATAAGCATCGTTTCGAAATTTGCTAAATTAGGAACGGTGGAAAGTATGTGTATGTATATATATACATATATATATTATATATATATTATATATATATAATATATATATATATCTCTCAGGCTATAACGAAAATGTACGATTTCTAAAGGTATCTTAAGACGTAGCCTGTGTGTGTTGTTTCTTTTTTTTTTCGCCATATTAAAATCTTCAATCCCCGAAAAATTCACGTGGCTTATTCGAGTAAACCATATGATATTGCCGAACGCAAGATCGTTTATCTCTGGGGACGGCAAAACAACAAAGTACCATTTGTCGCTGAACTACAGCAAATTAAGGCAAAAAAAAGAGGGGGAAAAAGAATAAGAAATAGTTATGTAATCTACGGCGACGGTGATCTGGCGTATCCTAGGCATCTAATGAATGTGCACACCAAAGAATCATGCCATTCGTTCAAATGAAATTACGCAACTTTTACTGGCCATTGTAGTAGCGAAGAGATTTCAAAATGTTTTTGCAACGGTCGAGCATGCTCGACCGACGATCACACCGAAGATACGCCCACCGTGTCCCTACGAAAGAAAAAAAAAAAATAGTAAATAATAAAGCTACAATGAGCCCCATGATCTCGACAGGAGTTCTAAAAAATTTTACTAAGTTTCTCCACCTACTATGTGTTACATCGTTATTCCCTTCGAGCAGGCATTAACGATTTATCGATTTGATTCGTTAGTGATTATACTACTTGTGTTCGTCAGCACGCACGGCAACGAAATGTTGGATGGATTTCTAACTAATAGTGTTGAAACTAATAATATTGAACAAATCCCCATTTATGATGCTCGCATTTTTATGGTGAGATCATTTTCACGTTCGAAATGTCCATCCGGCGATCTTCACGCCAGCATGAACATCAAATTGCACGCAGGATTTGTCAATGTCGCGCGTGAACAAATGTAATATATGTACTATATGTGGAATTTAAACAATGTAAGTATCCTTTTTTTTTCTTTTGCTGCTCGAAAGATCGGAGTGCGCAGGCAGTCAGCGAAAACGTGAATACGTATTATACGTGAAACTGTCCGCACTCCGCGCATATGTGCAGTATACGCGCGCAAAACACGTGCGTGTAGTATCAGATGTAGTAATGTGTCTGCCTTACATATAATTAAATTTGCATGTAGAGTAATAATAGTAATAATAATAATAATAATAATAATGATGATGATAATAGAAGTAGAAATACAGATGGAAATAACCGTCTATTTGTCCCATCCTCCCCACCAATCGGGGCCACTGTTGCCATTGTTATTGGAATTATTGTACGATGAATTATTATAGTTACCTCCGTAACTTGAATAACCGCCTGCAACAAAATTCAGAGACGTGTGAATAAAACAAAATGTCTGATAAAAATACCGGACTCGTAAAGTGACAATTGTTAATTTCACCGTGGATTCTTTACTACTCTGTTGATCTTCAACTTACCTCCGTAACCACCAGGTCTAGAAGGGCCATTACTACGGCCAGGTCCAGAACTGGGTTGTTGGCGATAATCTCTTGCACCAAACCCTCCGCCGCTGAAGCGACCCTTTGTGCCGCCGCCGCCACCGCCGCCGCCGCCGCCGCCTCCCGGCCGACGAGATCCGCCTCCGGAGTATCTCGCTTCAGTAAACATGTCATCCAACCATGGGGGAAGTTCCTGATTGGCTTCAACAAGCAGGGATACCAAGTCACGTACTAGATTGTGATTCTTGTGGTTGAAGAACGATGTAGCCAGACCTGCGAATTGCAAAATAACGTGCACCGTGACTCATCTCCATTTCCGGACTATCAAATGTCGTGAGATTTGAAATAGGAGCGAACCTAAATTCCCCATACGACCGGTACGACCGATACGATGAACGTATTCCTCAACGTCGCCGGGCAAGTCAAAATTGATTACGTGCTTAACGTGCGGTATATCGAGACCACGCGCCGCCACTGCGGTTGCGACCAGAATCGGCGCTTTGCCCGCGCGGAAACGGCGCAAAGCTTCCTCACGTTCACGCTGAGTTCTGTCACCGTGAATGCTGGTGACCGGGTATCCCATTGAGGCCAGATATTCTTCGAGCATATCGGCGCCTTTCTTTGTCTCCACGAACACTAAAGTAAGTGACTCTGCGGCTGTGCAACAGAAAAAAACGTTAACTTTTTGTTCTTTTTTTACAATTCTTGTTTTTTTTTTTTCTTTTTTTAATCCAGTCTAGCATAGTGTCACGACTTACTAGGGTCAGTAAAGTTGCTAGCTTGCAGCAAATCAAGTAAATATGAACGTTTGTCGTGCTCCTCAACCCATACAATCTTCTGCGTGATATTCTCTGAAGTCGAGCCCACGCGACCGACCGCCAAGAAAATGTAGTTGCTGAGGAAATCTCTAGCCAGCATCTGAATCTCTTTCGGGAAAGTAGCAGAGAACATGAGAGTCTGTCTCTCTCCGGTTGGCGGCATGTTGTCCTCCTGGACAATACGTCTTATTTGCGGCTCGAAACCCATATCCAACATACGATCTGCCTCGTCCAGAACCAAGTACCTGAGACAGAAATAAACAAAGATAATTAAATAAAAACGCAATCTTATTTATCACATCGTAATCTTGCCGCATAAACTTACCGGCAATTATGCAGACCAATTTTACCGCGCCCCAGCATATCCACCAGACGACCAGGTGTCGCCACGAGTAAATGGCAACCGCGATCTAACTCGCGCATTTGATCTACTATGTTGGAGCCGCCATATACGACCGCGGGACGCATACGCGATCGGTACGCGAACTTCCGCGCTTCGTCGTATATCTGCGTAGCGAGCTCCCTCGTTGGAGCCAGCACTAGACCCAACGGATACTGTTTACGCCTGCCAGAAGAATTCGCTTGCGGCGGTGGCGCTCGCGGCCCGCTCTCGTAAATCTGATTCAATATTGGCACTAGGAAGGCCGCTGTTTTACCGGATCCGGTTTGAGCGCAGGCCATCACATCACGGCGCCCGATGATAATCGGTATCGCATACTTCTGCACTGGTGTAGGCTTGTCATATCCTGCCAAGGCGATGCTATTCTTTATTATCTCTGTCAGCTTAACCTCGTCAAACTGAAAATGGGATAAGCACATTAATTACAAGTCGCACAAGATTCTTACATTGGACTTTGATTTATGCTTATACTCACTGATGTGATGTGTGGTGGTATGTTCTCTCCAGTAGCATCAACCGGGATATCCTCATATTTGCTAAAATTGATCCCAGTATTGCCAGTACCAAACAGCTCCAGCTCCAATCTCTCATCTCTGGCAGTGGGGATAGTCCAGTCGACCTCGCCTCGCGCGCCGCCTCTACCGCCTCTGTCGTCTCCCCATCTTCCGCCACTTCCCATTCTGTCATTTCTGTTCTCTTGCCAGCGATCGTTTCTAGGTTCCTGCCAGCGATCATTGCCACTAATTGGCCGATCGCGCTCGTTGGGATATCTATAATCTCTCCCATTTTCTTGGCTGCGCCTGTTACGTCCACCGAAGCTTCCAAAGTTCGCGAAATCGACGTCGCGAGGACTTCGCGATTCTCGATAAGCGCCTCCTCGACCCCTATCGCGGTCACGCTCCCTTTCACGGTCGCGATCGCGATCTCCCCCTCTGTCTCGATCACCAAACGGTCTCGGGTTCGAAGAGTAATTTAAATCCGAAGGTGGATTACCTATGGTGAAAAGATTTGTTTATTTAATATACATTTAATATACACATTTATTGTATCTCTATATTATATCGCAGTGATAAAACTGATTCTAGAAAATCGAGACTGTCTACTGGCCAATGTAAACTCGTCAGTTCTGACTCGATCTATATATTTACTTACTAAAATATTTAATTTAATAAACTAATAATAAACATTAATTCAATAAATTTAATTAAGAAAAAAAGTTGAGCAAAAAAATCTTGTACTAACTTGCTGCTTTATGACGAAGATGCGGTGGAACGTAGCGACCCCCACTTGGTTGGCGGGAGCCCTGCAAGTCCAGACCAGCTAACTAAAGGGACAAAAAGACTCGAATTAAACATCTCGATGTCGCAAGTATCATCCGAAATTCAGACAGATAACGTCATTATCATCTGAAAGATGAGTCATCTTTTTAGTAGATGCTGTAAAAATCCAGACGTTTATATATAACCTGCGTGTAATCCCATCACGAGAATTAGCGCGCATTAAAAAAATAGATCAGGAGAGAAAGAGAAATGGAGCGAATGCGTCATGACACGAGGCATTCCCGGAATCGCTTGTCGCCATTATACGTAGCGTACGTCACGAACTGTCCGAATGACGGCCCATGATGCTCAGGGAAAGGATCTTCGATCAGATAAAGGAAATTTCTCTTCGCACGCGTTCCGCGACGGAACAGCGATTTCACGCTCGAAATCTCGCGGAGAAAAGCGGGAATCGCGATAGGAACGCCGTGAAGACGTGAAGACAAAAAAAAAGACTCGCGGAACTCGCATCGCCGCTTCGCGGAAGCGCGACTAGAAGATATGCCTTCGAATTTTTACCTGCTGCTCTAGACCTGATCCATTCTGGTTGGCTGCATTACTCATATTACTCCGCCTCGGTGCGTAGTTATCGCAGCTCTGTCGCTTGAAGCCCTTTTTAGCTCGTCCTCTCGCACACACAACGCCTCACTCGCGAATCGAAAAAGTTCCCCAACGCGTCCCAGCACGCTATCTCTTTCTTGCCTTCTTCGTCCCTTTGTCGTCCCGCGACTGATGTATACGCTCAACGGCGATTGTCGTTACTCTCAGAACGATCGACCTTTCGTCGGTTAAATAAAGAACCGCGCGTACCAATTAGTCTTTCACGCGATACACACGATACGGGAAAACCCGAAGACGACTGGCTAAACTGCTAGGAAAGCGCGAGAGGCCCCTGGCCACACTTGACGTTGACGCAACAAAAATGGCCGAGACTTGGGCTGCCAAAATGGTGGCTGATTAGTTTCTACCGGAAATCAAAACAATGACGAAAGACAGGAAATATCGGAAGGAACATGTTCCAGATCTTATTCTGATGTTCAATATTCAAAATTTACGACAAAAATAATATTCTGAATTGTTATGTTATACATGCACGCGAAAAAAAAAGAAGAACTTCATAACTACACGTTGATCTGTTAAATGCGCATGGTTGGCAACTATGTTCGATCTATCGAATGCTGAATACAATCTGAAATCGGGACTGCACACGTTTCTTTTTTTTATGAGTTATAAAAATATAACAGTACAAAATTGTCTTGACACACATATTTTAACGCTATCAGCTATGCCAGCGTTCGCAGAATTTTGATTCTCGAATAGAGAATTTTTGGCCAACAAGAGCATGAATTACTGAAATACATTATAAATCCGTTTCATGCAAATCTTTTTTTCTGTTTCATACATTAGTAACTTATGTATCAAATAACAGTATAATTATAATAAAAGAAATCTTACTGATTATAAATAGTTGTGAATAAGTAATGTGCCAAGTATAAATTCAAAAATAAAAATGTTAAAATTAACTGTTTTAGTTAATTTTAAATAAATTTTACATCAATGTAATTATATATCTTCAGAAATTTCAAATATCAAGTAAATTTAACATGGAAGCTTTATATTGCAAAAAAATGTAGCGCTTATTTAAATTTATAGGAAAATCAATTCAACTTTCAAATATCTTTCACTTCCCAAACTTACTCTTCAGTTCAGCTGTAATTTTCCAGAATACATAAAATGAACTATAAGTATATAAAAACATGAATATATTTTTGTAAATACTTTTTTATTGTGCCAAAATGTCAATATTTAATCTAATCGTCTTTCTTTGTGTCGGTCTTGCCACCTCTGATTCTACCCGTACGACGAGCAGCAATAAGACCGATCTTACGACCAGCACTGGTTCCACGCTTAACTGTGGACGCTTTACCGATGTGTTGATGGTTACCACCACCGTGAGGATGCTCCACAGGATTCATAGCAACACCACGAACCTGAAAATATTCCCAAACGTCTCAAAATGTAGAACATTATATCATATAAGTTTTGAATTCAGTATAGAGCTTCATATTATTCAGTAAAAAAAATATCACCATAAAACTCTTCAGGTTTCAAATGTCTATTACATCATCAAACAGATTTGACTTTACGCCAGTGTATAAAAGTATATATTAAAATAAAAAAATTAAAAAAACACACCTTTGGCCAGCAGTTCCTCTTTGCCTTGTATTTGTGATAGGCGCGACCCGCTTTAAGAATGGGTTTGTCTATACGTCCACCACCAGCAACAATTCCGACCATTGCTCTGTTATTAGACGGAATGACCTTCTTGGCACCAGAGGGTAACTTGACTCTGGTTTTCTTGGTGTCCGGATTGTGAGTTATCACTGTGGCGTAATTGCCAGAAGCTCTAGCCAATCGACCCCTGTCGCCAGTCTTCTCCTCCAAATTGCAGACAATTGTACCTTCAGGCATCATACCGACTGGCATTACGTTTCCAATCTGAAGATTTGCTGGAAAATTGAAAACGACGCATTGTGTAAAAAAAGAAAAAAAATGTCAATTTTGCATTGCTTTGCAATATTTAACGTTATTTGTTCAAAAATATTGATGTACCTTTCTTGCCGCAGTATAAGAATTGACCAGTATACATTCCCTCTGGTGCAATAAATAACTCTTTACGTGTTTTGAACTTGTACGGATCACGGAAATGTACCATCGCTAATGGCGCGCCACGACCAGGATCGTGGATGATGTCCTGAAAAAAAACAAATAACTATCTCAAATATCTATATAATTAGAGAATATTTTTAAAACGAAAAGACATATCGTCAGAAAGAGCCTCTATTTTACATCAGTTACAATCAGATGGAGGTAAATTGAGAATCATCATGAACATGAAATCTAAGCTAGAAGTCTATAAGGTTGACTTTATACACTTCTACACAAAACTTACTCTGCATTCTTCTAATCAAATTGAAATAGAATGATATTAACCTTTACGACACCCTTGATAAATCCATGCCTTTCGGAGAAGTCCAAGGAGCGGAGTTTCGGTGCTCCCTTTCTCCTTTTCGTGTGGGATCGGAAAACGGATCCCGCACCTTTACGCTGTGCACGAATTACTCGACCCATGGCTCAAAACCTGAAGAGAAATCACAGTATCACAAATCTATTCCATTAACTTTTTACAAATACACCACGCGTCACGTTGTGGTTCTCAGAGGCACATAACCTCAAAGCAATGCTCAAGTTATGAATCAATTTTTTTGTCAAATCGTAAAAATATCGCATTTATCTTATGTGAGGATAACATAAAGAATACAATTGTAAATTTCTCTCAATCGATTTGTTTTCAACGCATAAATTAAAGCGGATAATTCACATCAATAAATTCTTACAAACGTACCACAAGAGCCGAAATGTAATAGAGAACGGCAAGACCGGAAATCGGCCGTCGGTGGAAGCGCCACAATGTTCTACTGGATTACATAGTCATCCCGCTAAAATTCAAACACATTGCTCGTGCACAATATCTGAATTATTAATTTAAACTTTTTCCTTTTTTAATTATTCTGTAAAGAGAATAATTTAAAATTTTATATCATGTCTTAAATATGTAGAAAAACTAATAAATACCAAAAACTAAATTTTTCTGCAAAGAAAATTTAGAATTTTATATCATATCTTAATTATGCAGAAAAAAACTAATAAATAAAGACCAAAATTTTAAATATGCGCAATTTGCAAATTATTAATGTGTAAAGAAATGATTTGCAGCGATTCTACAGCGAAGGAATCTCAATAGCCATCCCCACCCAGACATTTATACTGAATGCCAAATGAGACTTGCGATGATTCTTTTATTTCAATGTACGTATTCGAAATGGACGGACGTGTGAAATCGCTTTTTCTTCTTTTACTTTGCTTATCAATACACGCGAAGGATATAAATTTGATTAGGGAAAAGAGAATCGTTGGCGGTATCGCAGCCGCTCCACCTCCCGAAGACGATCCCGTAGTTTTTGTAAATAAAAACGATCGATATGCACGAATAATCGGCAGCCGCGATCCCGACAAAGGATTTTACACTTTTCGTGGAATCCGGTTTGGACAACCGCCAACGGGTCGAGATAGATTCCAGGTACATAAATATATCGCAATAAGATATCAAATATAGATAATAGTTTCTATCAGTGTGTGTAAATTATATCTTAAGCACGCAAATGTAGCATAAACATTTTTATTTTTCCGTATAAAATGTTTATTAAGAACGTAATTAACCGTTATGTGGACTACAGTACAACGCGTACGTCACAATGCGTAGAACAAGTAAATTCAATGACCTATCGAATTAACGCGCGCATTGTTGTTTTAACAAGCAATCACGCAAAAGTCCAGTCAAAACGAGTTCTTTTAATGTATCTTTTGCACTATTGTAGAAATAAAAATCGGCAACGTGACCAAATTAAATTAGAAGATTATTTTATCTGTCAGCATATCCTGTCCAAATTTAATGAACTTGATACATGTTATCAATCTCGTCCGAGAAATGAAGCAGACGTCGAGATTTGTACGAATTTTCTCTCATTGCGAAAAGCGCAGTATTATTCAACAAACTTCAACCAATTTAAAATTCAAATAATACATCGAAACTTTGTAGCAGAGAAAATAATGGAGTCGCGTTATTATCATTGAAATACAGCATCTTCGTATCGTAAGAAAAATAAATTTATAGCGAGCTACGCCCGTGCATCTCGAAGGAGAATACAACGCCACTACTTGGGGACCTGCTTGCCCTCAGCCGAGCCACGACGGATCCGACAAAATCGTCGGAAGCGAGGATTGTCTTTTCCTGAACGTGTTCACGCCGTCGCTTCCAGACAATAGCGACGGCTATCCCGTGCTGATATGGATTCACGGAGGCGGTTTCAGAAGAGGTGCAGCGTGTCAATACGAAATGAGACATCTAATAAAAAAGAAACTGATCGTCGTGTCCATTCAATACAGATTAGGCACGCTAGGTAAATGCATGTCACGCTGAAAAAGATATAGCATGATATTATATATAAAAGTTTTTTAAATTTAATTGTGAAAAAAAGTGTAAAACGTGCAATATTAAAATAGAGAAAAAAGATAATATAAAAGAAGGAAAACTAACTTTGCAGAATCTTTTCAGGATTTTTAAGCACAGGTACGCCGGAAATGCCAGGAAACAACGGTATGTTCGACATGGTACTGGCCGTCGATTGGGTAAAGGATTACATACGCTTCTTCGGCGGTAATCCGAGTAGAATAGTAGCCTTTGGCCATGGCACTGGCGCCAGTTCCGCTATGATGCTGTCCTTGTCAAAATTCTGCGAAAGTAATTGCAATTACACGATCTACTGCGTTGCACAAACATATCTTTTTTACTCATCGCTAATTATTCTACTCTTTTAGACAGCTTCAGTGGTTTAATCGCTATGTCCGGCTCGATCTTATCTCATTTCGCCGTCGACAAGGATCCTGCCGAAACCGCCAGATATGTTGCGCG